ATCTGAACAAAGAAACTATAAAACTCAATAATACAATCCATAACTTAGACTTACTGACATATATAGAAAATTTCATCCTTCAACAAGAGAATACACTTTCTTCTCAGCAGCACATGGATCTTTCTTTAAAACGGATCATATAATATGCCACAAAGCAACTATTAGCAAACATAAAAAAGTAGAGATACTACCCTTCATTCTTATTTATTTATTTTTATTTCTTACATACATGACAATAGTGGAATGCATTACAATCATAATTATCCATTCACAGCACAATTTTTCATAACTCTGTATATATAAAGTATGTTCACACCAAATTATGCCATTATACGTGAGCTCTCTCTCTCTTTTTTTTTGCATTACAATTCTTAATACACCTTTATACCACAATTTATCATATCTCTGTTTGTATATAAGGTATGTTGATGCCAAATTCACTTCTTTTTTTTTTTTTTTTTTTTTTTTTTTTTTAAATATTTATTTATTTATTTATTTAGTTTTCGGCGGACACAACATCTTTGTTTGTATGTGGTGCTGAGGATCGAACCCGGGCCGCATGCATGCCAGGCGAGCGTGCTACCACTTGAGCCACATCCCCAGCCCCGAAATTCACTTCTTCATACATGTATTTTGTATAATGATGACGGTCTCCTTCCACAATCCATGCTCTTCCCCTTCTCCCCCTCTTTCCCTCCTACCCCTATTCCCTATCTAGAGGTAATCTTCCTCCTTTGCTCTCCCTCCCAACCCCATTTTGAGTCACCCTCTTATATCAGAGAAGACATTCAGCATTTTTTTTTGGAATTGGCCAATTTCATTTAGCATTATCTTCTCTAATGCCATCCATTTCCCTGCAAATGCCATGATCTTATTCTTTTCTAGTGCTGAGTAATATTCTATTGTGTATAAATGTCACTTTTTTTTTTTATCCATTCACCCACTGAAGGACATCTAGGTTGGCTCCACAGTTTAGCTATTGTGAATTGTGCTGCTATAAACATTCATGTGGCTGTGTCCCTGCTACCCTGCATTCTATCAGATCATAATGGAATAAAATTAGAAATCAATAATAAAATAAGAAATAAAATCTACTCCAACACCTGGAGACTAAATAATATGCTACTGAATGAACAAAGACATCAAGGAGGAGATTAAAAAATTTTTAGAGGTAAATGAGAACACAGATACAATATATTGAAATCTCTGGGACACTATGAAAGCAGTTCTAAGAGGAAAGTTCATTGCATGAAGTTCATTTCTTAAAAGAAGAAAAATAAATGACTCAACATTACATCTCAGAGTCCTAGAAAAAGAAGAACAAATCAGTACCAAAAGCAGCAGAAGACAGGAAATAATTAAAAATCAGAGCTGAAATCAATGAAATTGAAACTAAAAAAAAAAAAAAAAAAATTGACAGAACAAAAACTTGGTTTTTGGAAAAAATAAATAAAACAGGCAGACCCTTAGCCATGCCAATGAAGAGAAGGAGAGAGAAAACTCAAATCACTAACATACATGATGAAAAAGGAAATATCACAACAGACACTATAGAAATACAGAAGATAATTAGAAATTATTTTGAAAACCTGTACTCCAATAAAATAGAAAATATTGAAGGAATCAACAAATTTCTAGAGTCATATAATTTACCCAAATTAAATCAGGATGATATACACAATTTAAAAAGATCAATTTCAAGTGATGAAATAGCAGATGCCATCAAAAGTCTACCAACCAAGAAAAGCCCAGGACTGGAAAGATATACAGCCAAATTCTACAAGACCTTTAAAGAAGAACTAATACCAATACTCTTCAATTTACTTCAGGAAATAGAAAAAGAGGGAGCACTTCCAAATTCATTCTATGAGGCCAACATAACTCTGATTCTAAAACCAGGCAAAGATACATCAAAAAAAAAAAAACTTCAGACCAATATCTCTAATGAACGTAGATGCAAAAAATTCCAATAAAACTCTGGAAAATCAAATACAAAAACATATCAAAAAGATAGTGCACCATGATCAACTGGGATTCATCCCAGGGATGCAAGGTTGGTTCAACATACTGTTATGCTTGAATTCGGGACCCCCAAAATACCAGAGACCAAGATCGATGTAAGCAGCAAAGAAGCGTTTATTGCAAGCTAGCTCAGTCCTCCGTGCACGCACAGCAACTGGTGACACTGAGAGGCCCCTGAGCCCAGGGTTTGCAGCAGTTTTATATACTCTTTGGGGAAGGCAGGGACTTCATATACATCATAGCATCTCTTAGCAAATCATCACACACTGCAGGAAAATCATAAAACAACTCTAAAACATGATTAGCACATTCACTGGCGGGAACAAATAGGGTAAGAGTGATTGGTTAATATAAGAGGGGGATTCATTTGAACTGATTGGTTTAGGCCACAAGGGATTATGTGCTGAATTACGTGGTTTCCCAACATGTTATCAACCACCATAAACTACTGGGAGGGTCATTTGACATCCCAGGTATTTTCCCTGTCTCATGCTGATTGGTGGTTGCTAGGGGGTTGCTATGGGTCCTCATCTAGCCTGACTGAGTCAGGGCCACCTGGCTCCACAGATCTCTCCTGTTATTTGTAGATAAACAACTCAGCAGGGTGGGTATGTGCCTAGGAGTGCTTTGTGGATCTTTCCAAGGACAAGGGGTCACGACGCCCCCTTCCTTGGACAGGCTTTGCTCTGAGGTAAAGGCTGTTTTCTCAATACAGAAATCAATAAATGTAATTCATCACATCAATAGACTTAAATATAAGAATCATATGATCATCTCAATAGATGCAGAAAAAGCATTTGACAAAATACAGCACTCCTCTTTGTTCAAAACATTAGAAAAACTAGGGATATAACAGGAACATATCTCAACATCATAAAGGCTATCTATGCTAAGCCCCAGGCCAGCATCATTCTAAATGAAGAAAAATTGAAGGCATTAACCTCTAAAAATTGGCAAAAGACAGGGATGCCCTCTTTTACCACTTCTATTTAACATAGTTCTTGAAACACTGGCCAGGGCAATTAGACAGACAAAAGAAATTAAAGGGATACACATAGAAAAAGAAAAACTCAAATTGGCACTATTTGCTGATGATATAATTCTATACCTAGAAGACCCAAAAAACTTCTAGAACTAGTAAATGAATTCAGCAAAGTAGCAGGATATAAAAATCAACACCCATAAATCAAAGGCATTTCTATATATCAGTGACAAATCCTCAGAAAGGGAAATGAGAAAAACTACCCCATTTTCAATAGCATTAAAAAAAAAAAAAAAAAAAAAAAACCTTGGGAATCAACTTAATGAAAGAGATGAAGAATCTATATAATAAAAATTACAGAACCCCAAAGAACACCTTAGAAGATGAAAAAATCTATCTTGCTCTTGGGTAGGCAGAATTAATATTATCAAAATGAACATACTTCCAAAAGCATTATACAGATTTAATGCAATTCTGATCAAAATTCCAATGACATTTCTCATAGAAATAGAAAAAGCAGTCATGAAATTCATCTGGAAAAATAAGAGACCCAAAATAGCTAAAGCAATCCTTAGCAGGAAGAGTGAAGCAGGGGGCATCACTATACCAGACTTTAAACTATACTATAGAGCAATAGTATCAAAAGCAGCACGGCATTGGCACCAAAACAGACTGGTAGACCAATGGTACAAAATAGAGGACACAGAGACTAACCCACAAAATTACAATTTCCTTATATTAGACAAAGTTGCCAAAAACATGCATTGGAGAAAAGATAGCCTCTTGAACAAATGGTACTGGGAAAACTGGAAATCCATATGCAACAAAATAAAATTAAACACCTCTCACCATGCACAAAACTCAACTCAAAAGGGATTAAGAGTTTAGAAATAAAACCAGAGACCCTGCGTCTTATAGAAGACAAATTCGGCCCTAATTTGTGGGATTAGGCCCCAACTTCCTTAATAAGACTCCTATAGTGCAAAAATTAAAATCAAAAGTCAATAAATGGAATAGACTCAAACTAAAAAGTTTCTTCTCAGCAAAAGAAACAATTTGTGAAGTGAATAGAGAGCCTACATCTTGGGAGCAAATCTTTATCCCTCACACATCAGATAGAGCACTAATTTCTAGGTATATAAAAAACTCAAAAAGCTAAACACCAAAAAAAAAAAACCTCAATAAATGGGCCAAGGACCTGAACATACACTTCTCAGAAGATGATATACAATCAATCAACAAATAATGAAAAAATGTTCATCATCGCTAGCAACTAGAGAAATGCAAATCAAAATCACTCTAAGATTTCATCTCACTCCTGTCAGAATGGCAGATATTATGAAGACAAACAACAACAAGTGTTGGCAAGGATATGGGAAAAAAAGGTACACTCATACACTACTGGTGGAACTCCAAATTGGTGCAGCCAATATAGAAAGCAGTATGGAGATTTCTTGGAAAATTAGGAATGGAACCACCATTTGACCCAGCTATTCCTCTCCTTGGTCTACATCAAAAGGACTTAAAAATAGCATACTATAGGGATATAGCCACATCAATGTTTATAGCAGCACAATTCATAATAGCTAAACTGTGGAACCAACTTAGATGCCCTGCAATAGATGAATAAATTTTAAAAATGTGGCATATATACACAATGGATTATTATTCAACAATAAAGAGAATAAAATCATGGCATCTGCAGGTAAATGGATGGAGTTAGAAAAGATAATGCTAAGTTAGCCAATCCCCTCCAAAAAAACCAAAAACACTGAATATTTTCTGTGATATAAGGAGGCTGACTCATAGTGGGATAAGGAGGGGGAGCATGGGAGGAATAGACGAACTCTAGGTAGAGCAGAAGACTTAGGGGGAAGGGAGGGGGCATGGTGTTATTAATGATGGTGGAATGTGATGATCATTATTATCCAAAGTACAAGTATCCAAAGTACAGGAATAGGGGCTGGGGATGTGGCTCAAGAGGTAGCGCGCTCACCTGGCATGCGTGCGGCCCGGGTTCGATCCTCAGCACCACATACAAAGACGTTGTGTCCGCCGAAAACTGAAAAATAAATATTGAAATTCTCTCTCTCTCTCTCTCTCTCTCTCTCTAAAAAAAATAATCTGATGATTAATATCAGATTATAAAAAAAAAACAAAGTACAGGAATAAAGACACAAATTGATGTGAATATACTTTGAATATATGAGATATGAAAAATTGATATGAAAAATTGTGCTCTCTATGTGTAATAAGAATTGTAATGCACTCCGCTGACATTCATATATAAAATGTCCACATGCTTCTTTCAATGCTTTAATCACTCATATCACTCAATACAATCTCACTCTATAGGTTCTTAATCAATAAAATGACAATCCTTAGTGCTAGGCACTGCAATAGATATAATCAAGCCACAGCAAATAATTCTAGAATAATTCTAATCACTGTAAACATTCTTAATCATGACAGACATTCCCTCTGCATGCTAAGCTCAAGTGCCAGTTCTACAGTCTCAAGCCTTAGGCTCTAAGTCCAGCAGATGCCCACTCACTCAGACTGTGGTGATCTGGTCAGGAACCAAGGCAGGCTTCTCCTGAGGTGGAGCTGACAGCTGGTTGAAGAGGGGGTCACAGGGAGAAGCTGCACTTCTCACCAGGGTCAAGATGTGGCTGTACAGTTTGAGAGCAGTGAAGAAGATGCAGAGGATCAGGAAAAGATGAGAAGAGTTAGGATGTCAGTCCAGGTCCTCATCAGGCTCTCCAGCATGAGGGCACCATTGTCAGCTGGCTGAATGTCTGTTCATTTGCTCCTTCATTTATACTAAATTTTGGGGCTTCTGACCACCCTTCCAATCCCTATCAGCTGCCACTGGATTTCTCAGTGATGTCATTTGCCCAGAGGTTAAAGCAACTGGTCTGGTGGTCCCCACCCAGATATTCTTGCCTCTCCCCTTTATGGTGGGGTGGGGCAACATGACGAGACTTCACTCTGAGCTTGTCAGGGTGGGAAGAAGTGACTTGTTCATGATGATCATATTGGAGGGCTACAAAGGCATGCCTGGAGAGACTTCAGGTTTCAAAGTGGAGTTTTAAAATGGAGTTGCTCAGGCCAAGGCCTAAGGTCATCTTTACAATACAGCACACTGGTCAAACACCTAGGCCCTATTTCATTACCACAGAGATAAAACAAGGAGGGGGCTGAGGGATGATGCTAGATCTTCTATAAACAAGCCAGGTGTTCTAGTTCTCAATGTTCAATGTTTCACATCTTTCTAAATATTGTCTCTAAATATTTGCTTTTGATATTATTTTCACTAGAATTATCTTAATTTCACATTTTAATATTCATTTTCTTATGTAGATAGACAACTGATTGATCTTGTATCTTCTTTTATAAGCTCACTTATAGCTTCTGATAGTAAATTCCTATCTTTGAAAATATCCACTTTAAAATAAACTGAGATACCAAGAGATATAAGCAAGTTGCAACACTTTCAGTTTGACAAAGTCAAAGATACTGGCGAGAATCTCAGCAAAAGTCTAGTTCATATAAGTCATAAATCAAGAGAATTAAACTACAAACTTCCATAAATATGTTATCAGACACAAAAGATAATAGAAAAACTGGCCATCAAACTCCCCTTATCTCAATCTAGTAAAATATAGAATTAGAAATAAAATCCACCCACCTCCAAAACTAAAAACAAATGTTATCAGGAAATTTATGTCAGCATTGAACCTCCACTTATGTAGATCATTGCAAATAAAAAAGTCACATTTAACTTTAGAATGTTTATTATACATAAATGATGAGACATAATTAAACCAAAGAAGGAAATGTTCCCCAGAGCACAACACATAGTTAACATTTCAAAGAAGCTGAAACTAAGGAAAGAAGGACAGGATATTAATTCTCCAGATTGAAGAAGTTCTCTGACCAAAGTACTGTTGTTTTTGACAATGGGATAATCATCTTTGGGCTGGGGTTGCAGTTCAGTGCTAGGGCACTTGCCTCACATGAGTGAGGCACTGGGTTCAATCCTCAGCACCACATATAAATAAATAAATAAAGATATTGTGTCCATCTACAACAACAACAAAAGATAGTAATCTTCAATCATAATTTGCTAAAGATTGGCACAGCTTTGACAAATACTACTTAGCTTTAACATTTATCACATTAGCCATTGGTCACATGGTTAATTAAAATTACAGAAAATAAATTTTCCTATTGCTGCTGAAAGGAATGATCACAAATGTAATTGCTTAAATAGTCCTCAAAAGTAAGATAGACAAATCCACCCTACATAGAACATGATGGCACATCAGCAGCTATCCTCACAGCACAGAAGATGACAGATTACCTATAAGCTTATCCTTGCAAACAATATTTGCCAGTGTTTCAGAAAATGCAGCTCCAAGCACAGGAAAAAGAAGAAAAAACAGGGGACCCTAGATCTGAAAACTGAAGCAAGACAGGAGAAAGATCCACAATATATAGTGAGATGGGGACAGAGCTCCGTAGAAAACTGCCTCCAAAATATTTAAGAGAAAATTTAGAGAAATCCACATCCACAAAATCTCCTGGAACAGAGTCAAACCAAAGAAGTAGAGCTGAGGACACAACCCTTTTAGACAGCAGGTATGACCAATACTTTTGATTAGACCCCTGGAAAATCACCCAGTTGCATGTAGCCTTGGATCACCCTTTGTGCATGTTTCCGGTCATCTCACCATAGTGTTTATGGGCCCTAGTATTTACCTAGAAACTCTGGGAGTTTATATCCACTTCAGTTATCTTGATTGTGTTACTTCCTCCTTTCCAAGATGCTACCCTGTAATTTCTAGGACTTCACCTCTGTGAATTTTACTTCTGTCATTTTAAGTAAGTATCTCCAATGTTCAAAGGTAAGATCTAAAGTGGGAGATGTTTTTAGTGACCATTTCTAATAAAGTGTTTATAGTGCAAAATATATGAATATACATTTTGTTGGAGCCAAAATACATCTCAACAGAGTAGAGCACAGATGAGAAACTTCAAAAGATTTCACAAAGAAGAAAACATTCCAATGACAAACATAAAATATAAGTATAAAGCAATACTACTTAAAGATGCTAAAGAAACAAACAAACAAACAGCAAACACACAAAAAAAACTAATATTCACAGAGATGTTAAGTGATTGGACTTGTCAAGCCTGATGTTGCAAGGTAAAAGATATTGTGTCCTCCTAAAACTAAAAAATAAATATTAAAAAGCAGATAGTAAGAGAGATAATTTTAAAAATACACCATAATATGAGCCTCCTGACTCTCCCTCCATTCATGGATACACCAAATAAATTATCTACTCATGTTTTGATTCCCTCTTAAAGTTATAGGCACATACATTGGACAACTGAAAAAAAAAAAATATTTACCATCAGATGAGTAGAAAAAGTTGGAGTATACTTGGGCATTAGCCTGCCTTGAGCAATGTGCCACTTAACTAGACAGAATTCCCGAATCTCAGGGGAGGAGTTAAATCTCAAGGGTCCTGGTTTATCCCTAAAAGGGATTTGCCAGCATACTCTGCAAACTCTGTTGCTAACAGCTGAGCTTTTATCTAGCCAGCACCAAAGGGTTTACAGGGGAAATTTATTCGACCACTGGCAGCCCAGGTGGTAGTTCAGCACTTCCTGAGCCCTTCCCCCTTGCTCACCTCACTAATAACTCCAAGCCTAACAATTCTTTAAGGAACTTGTCACAATTTCAACTTTTTCCATTCAATGTATTATATCCTAAACCTTCAAGCTTTGGGAGCAATGGCAACTGTGTGTGTGCATGTCTGCCTAGATCACAAAGGAGTGGCTTCACATTGGTGTACAAGCATCCACCAGGAGTGAGAAAAGAAAAAGATTAAAAGTACAGATCCCCATTTATTTCTAAAATAGGTTTACATCACCTTTCTTTCAGTGAGTATACGACAGCCTGGATTCTAACAAACTTGCATCAGGAATTTAGTGCAGCAATCAACTATAAAACCTTCTGTAGCAGATTCAATGCGATTCCAATCAAAATCCCAATGGCATTCCTCACAGAAATAGAAAGAGCAATTATGAAATTCATCTGGAAAAATAAAAGACCCAGAATAGCTAAAGAAATCCTTAGCAGGAAGAGTGAAGCAGGGGGCATCACTATACCAGATCTTAAACTATACTACAGAGCAATAGTAACAAAAACAGCATGGTATTGGCACCAAAACAGACTGATAGACCAATGGTACAGAATAGAGGGCACAGAGACTAACCCACAAAACTACAACTACCTTATATTAGACAAAGGTGCTAAAAGCATGCACTGGAGAAAGGATAGCATCTTCTACAAATGGTGCTGGGAAAACTGGAAATCCATATGCAACAAAATGAAATTGAATCCCTATCTCTCACCATGCACAAAACTCAACTCAAAATGGATCAAAGGATCTAGAAATCAAACCAGAGACTCTGCATCTAATAGAAGAAAAAGTTGGCCCTAATCTCCATCACGTGGGATTAGGCCCCAATATCCTTAATAAGACACCTATAGCACAAGAATTAAAACCAAGAATCAACAAATGGGATGAATTCATACAAAAAAGTTTTTTCTCAGCAAGAGAAATAATATGTGAGGTGAATAGGGAGCCTACATCCTGGGAACAAATTTTTATCCCTCACACATCAGATAGAGCTCTAATCTCTAGGGTATACAAAGAACTCAAAAAGCTAAACACCAAAAAAAATAAATAACCCAATCAACAAATGGACCAAGGATCTGAACCGAAACTTCTCAGAAGAGGATATACAATCAGTCAACAAATATATGTAAAAATGCTCACCATCTCTACAGTCAGAGAAATGCAAATTAAAGCTATTCTAAGATACCATCTCACTCCAGTAAGAATGGCAGCCATTATGAACAACAACAAGTGCTGGTGAGGATGCAGGGAAAAAGGTACACTCACACATTGCCGGTGGGACTGTAAATTGGTGCAGCCAATTTGGAAAGCAGTATGGAGATTCCTTGGAAAGCTGGGAATGGAACCACCATTTGACCAGCTGTTCCTCTTCTCACACTATACCCAAAGGACCTAAAAGCAGCATACTACATGGACACAGCCACATCATTGTTTATAGCAGCACAATTCACAATAGCTAGTCAGAGGAGCCAACCTAGATGCCCTTCAATGGATGAATAGATTTTTAAAAATGTGGCATTTATACACAATGGAATATGACTCAGCACTAAAAAATAACAAGATCATGGCATTTGCAGGGAAATGGATGGCATTAGAGCAGATTATGCTAAGTGAAGTTAGCCAATCCCAAAAAACAAATGCTGAATGTCTTCTCTGATATAAGGGGGGTGACTCAAAATGGGGTAGGGAGGAAGAGCATGTGAAGAAGATTACCTCTAGATAAGGAAGAGGTGGGAGGGAAAGGGAGGGAGAAGGGGAATTGCATGGGAGAGGGAAGGAGACCCCCTTCGTTATACAGAATACATGTATGAAGATGTGAGGGAAAAAAAAATAGTGTTACCTTAGATTAGGTAAAGAGAAGTGATGGGAGGGGAGGGGAGGAGATGGGAGGATAGGAAGGACAGTAGGATGAAATAGACATTATTATTACTGTGTGTATGTATGTGAATGCATGACCAATGTGATTCTGCAACCCGTACACTCAGAAAAATGAGATATTATATCCCATCTGATTCAAATGTATGATATGTCAAGGTCATTGTACTCTCAAATGTAACTAATTTAAACAAATAATAATAATAAAAAAACCTTCTGCAGCCTGAGCACAGCTACAGAAAATGGCTAATATGAAAAAGTTGAAGAATAACTAGTACTCCAATTATATGAATTTGGAAGAAAGCAACACTTGTAAGGCACAGATCACTGGTAAGGCTTGTGTGCCAGAATATGAATTTAGTGGAGCCATTTAAAAAAAAAAAAAAAGCATGGGAAGTTGAAAGTTCTTTAAAATCTAACACAATAATAATAATTCTGGGTGCATTTCCACAGTAGTTGAAGTCAGTATGTTAGATAAATGTTAGATAGCTATTCTAAGATACCATCTCACTCCAGTAAGAATGGCAGCCATTATGAACAACAACAAGTGCTGGTGAGGATGCAGGGGAAAAGGTACACTCACACATTGCTGGTGGGACTGTAAATTGGTTGCATTCTCATCTTCACTGGAGCAGTATTCACAGTAGCCAAGAGAAGGAAACAACTAAAGTGCCTTCTGGATGCAGGGTACACCGGGGGATTTCTCCCAGTTTTAGAGCACTCAGCTACTTCCCCGAGAAAGTATGTTCCCTAAATTTAGACTGCTCGCTCACAAGATGAGACCCAGGTACTCATATTCACTGGACTCTCAGGAGACATTAGAGGTGTTAGCTGAGGGATCCTCATATCAGACAGTTCCAGGAAAATACCAGAAGGGGAAATTAGAACCCTCTGGCATAAATTCCTCAAAGGGGACACTCAGCACAAAGACATTCTGACAGGCTGTCTGGCCTTGAGAGACAAAGGGAGAATACAAACATATTATTGCAAAGGTCAAGTGATTCTTCTCTACTTTTCTATCATGGGAAATGCTCATAAACAACAACAACAAAAACCTTTGCTTTTGATTCTTTCTATAGTACTGGGATTTGACACAGGGGCATGTTAAATATGAGCTACATACACAGCCCTTGTTTTAGAATTTAAAGACACGTCTTTCTAAATTGCCCATGGTCTCCCTAAATTCCTGATGTTGACCTTAAAATCGCAATCTTCCTGCCTTAGCCACCTGAGTCTCTGGAATTACAGGCAAGTGCCATTAAACCCAGCCAAAAACAAAACAAAACAGAAATCCTTTAAGAAAATTCCATCCATGGGCTGGGGAGGTAGCTCAAGCGGTAGCACGCTCGCCTGGCATGTGCGCAGCACTGGGTTCAATCCTCAGCACCACATACAAATAAAGACGTTGTGTCCGCTGAGAACTAAAAAAAAAAAAAAAAAAATGAATATTAGGAAAACTCTCTCTCTCTCTCTCTCTCTTTAAAAAAAAAGAAAGAAAATTCCATCCAGTTCTTGGTAAAACAATTAAAAAATACTGTGCTCATTTGAAATGTAATATGGGAAAAATAATTGATAATATTGAGGAGAGGGGAAGTTATCATTGGGAATGTGGAGAGGTAGCTGAAATTTTAAGATTTTGTCGACATCTACATAAAGGTTTAGGCTGGGAGACAGGGTTCTGGATTTGACATTTTGTTTCCATACATTGAGATCATTCAGGAGGACACAGGCAGAATGGAACTCAACTGTAATCCCAGCAACTCAGGAGACTGGGAAACAAGTTCAAGACCATACTCAGCAACTGACTCAAAATAAAAAAAGAAAAATAAAAAAGTACCAGGGATGTAGCTCAATGATAAAGAACCTCTGGGTTCAATCCACAGTAATACCATCCTCCCAAAAAAGAAAGAAAAGCAAGCTCATCAGGAAAGAAAAACTGAGACCCCCTACAGAAAACACTCCCCTCGTGCAGGAAAACAATACATGGAGTTGAGATTTGGATGATCATTCCACTCCACAATCCCCCACCATCTGGGAAGGTGCTGGAATGCTGGTACATATGTGCTCAGATAGGACTTCAGGTATGTAGAACTTATGAGAAAACAAAAGTCATCAGAACCACATCAGAGACTCAATTGCACATCCATGTGTACATGATAAAACTCATCATTATAAAGATGACAATTTTTCAATTATAAGAGTAAAATAAGTACTTATCATTACCTGACATTCATGTATATTATAAAACTATACTATATTACCATAATACCAAGGAATCACAATGAAAGCAAAATCAATATATGAATCCATATAATGTAAAAATTTATACTTAATTACAATAGAAAAAGTCTAGATAAATCAAACCATAAAAAGGCCAATCTCAGCAACTTAGCTAGACCTGTCCCAATAAATCAATCAATCAATAAATAGTATCAGGGATATAGCTCACTAGTATAATATCCCCAACTTTCGGTAACTTAAAAAAAAAAAAAAATGAAAACGAGCTAGCTCAGGAAGAAAAGCGAGGTCCCTGTGGACCGGCGCTTCTCTGCTGCAGGAAAACGTGGAGATGTGGTTATGACAACCCTCCCACCGTCAATCACCAGCGTCGCCAAGAGTCTGGGTGGCAGGCGCACACCAGCCAGAGAGTACTAAGGCAGGGGCTGCGGACGCCCAGAGAGGATGAGAAGGTGCCACTGACATGTCCCCACCTAGGAGGCCCGTGGGACACCTCCCCACCTAGGAGGCCAGTGGGACACGTCCCCACCTAGGAGGCCAGTGGGACACCTCCCCACCTAGGAGGCCGGGGGGACACGTCCCCACCTAGGAGGCCAGTGGGACACCTCCCCACCTAGGAGGCCGGGGGGACACCTCCCCACCTAGGAGGCCAGTGGGACACGTCCCCACCTAGGAGGCCAGTGGGACACCTCCCCACCTAGGAGGCCAGTGGGACACGTCCCCACCTAGGAGGCCAGGGGGACTGGGGGCTCGGGCCTGCCGGCTCCAGAGACTGCCGGTGCCGTCTGCCAGCTCCTGTCCCGCCCCAGCCTCCCTCCCCAGCCTCCCGGCCCAGCCTCCCGGCCCAGCTCCAGGCGCCCCTGCCCACTCACCATTCCCTGGAGCTCAGGAGCCAGGCTGCTCCCTAAGGGTCTTCAGACCTGCACAGCAGACAACCCGGACTCCGAAGCTGGAGAGCGAAGCCTGGAGACAACGGCAGAGATGGCGGACTCCGGGACGCGGCCCCTCCGTCAGGGGAACGAGGACGGCCGATCCAGGGCGCCTCCTCCGGTCCCACAGCGGAGCAGGTTTCGCGACCTCCAGGAGCCACTCACTCGGAGGAAGCCGGCGGGAGGCAGTCTGGAAGGATCTCCGTCCCCAGGGGAAGGATCCTGCCCTGAAGCCCTGGCCTCGGGGTTTCCTGCAACGCTGACCTCAGTCAGGGGGCCTGCGGTTTCTCAAGCCGCTTGCTAGGGCAGAGCGCCCCTCCTGCAGGTGCTCCTGTGGGGTGTCTGAGCGGCTCCCAGCTGCTAGCTGCAAACCGGAAGTGACTCGGACACCGGGCAGAGGACCCCATTGCGAAAGCCCGCCCCCTCCTCCCTGGCTGCACACAGGATTGGACCGTTCTCACTCAGTGCTCCTGGACGGACAGGGCTTCAGGCCTGAGGGTCCCTTGAGTCTGAGCCCAATAACCTTCTTTTTGAGTAAAGGAAATAATACCCAATCCAGTCACGAATAAGGCCAAAATGACAGATTCTTGGTTGCAGTTTTTTTTTTTTCTTTTTCCTTTTGAAGTCTGGTAATTAGACCTCAGAGCCTCAGGCTGCTGCTATTTTATGGCAAAATTTCCTTCAAAAGTAGAATCTCGACCAACCAGCAGAACATTTGCATCTAACCTTGCAAGTAAAGTCATTTCAGTTTCTGGATTATATATGCCTGTATATTATTCATGAATGAAAATAATGCAATGACAATTACTATAAAATGTCTTTTAACTTTTCTGCCCTTTGTTCTTGTTAGGAGACAGATTGAACTTTGAACTGGGAAGAAACCCCCTAAAATAACAATGTCCAATGAAAACAACATGTAAGGCACAAGGGTAATTTAAATATTTCTAGTATTCACATTAATAATGTTAAAAATGACAGTTGAAATTGATATAATAACATAATTCAGAATATCCAGAATATTATCTTTCTGTGACTAACCTAATAGAATACTACTAATGAAGTATGTGTGCTTTTGGAACTACATCCTCAAGTTTGACTCTTTCCATAATATCTCAGTTCACAGGAACCACATTCCAGATTTGAGAGCTATGGGTCCCCTAATTCCCCTAATATCAGGGACTTTATGGGCATGGTCTATCTCTTTATATGCTAGAGTTGAGCGGTACAGTTTCCCACTAATGTTTCTCCTCAAGCCCCAAAATTAGAAGAAACAATGCCCTGAGTGGGAGCAGGAAGCTCCAACCAGGAAGTGTCCAAAAGTAGATCATTCTTTCCCACTTCATACTGGTCTCAGGTTCTTCCCATTGCAGGTATTGGACAGCAAGAAAAGGAAGATGGGGTCACAGGAGGTTAGGAACCCATAGCCTGTAATCTGCAGCAGTCTTGACTCTATTGTTTAAATAAATCAAATTCAAACATATTTAGCAGTTTGAGTTTATACCTAGTGACCAGGCTACAGCTAATATATGTTTCCTCCTATGGACAGACTCTCATAACTAATAAGCAAGTGGGCCGGGAGTCAGGATGAGCTGTGTCTGATTCCAAAGTCGAAACACCTCCAACAGATCACAAGACTCTTGCAACATTCCTTATTCTCATCAGACTTGGAAAGTGACAATTATTCAAAAGAGCAGGCTTTGTGATATATGTATATAAAATGCAGTCCTGCATATTACATAGTGCCACACAAACAGAACATTCTCATAGATCTCTGCTATCTTGGGGTTCCCATTCCAGGCTCCATGGAATCATGTTTCAGTTTACCTCAAAGGCAAACACCAGCTAGAATTTAATTCAACACCCTTTACAAATGAAAATATAGGTTGATATGGAACATATGATATGTTTAATCAGGGTTTTTAAATTATAGAATAGTCTGATCTAGAGGGATGTAAAGGACCACTAAGCTCTATGTTTTCTTTTTTTTTTTTTTAAAGATAGAGTGAGGGAGAGAGAGAGAGAGAGAATTTTTTAATATTTATTTTTTAGTTTTCGGCGGACACAACATCTTTGTTTGTATGTGGTGCTGAGGATTGAACCCGGGCCGCATGCGTGCCAGGCGAGCGCGCTACCGCTTGAGCCACATCCCCAGCCCCAGCTCTATGTTTTCAAAGCAAAGAGGGACTGCAGCACATTTCTTTTGTTGATGGCATAGTGCAAAAGGAGACCAAGGACGACATATAATTATTGGCAGTACACGAAAGATCAGAGAATTGGAATCTGGAGGTCAGACCAGGAAGATTTGAAATATTGTATTGGGGCACGTGAAGGACATGAGTGCCCATGATGAATAGGTTATAAACTTCTGAAAGATGATTGATATGGTGTCAGAGATGGTTTAGCAGTATCTACACAACAACTTCAAGGTGTTTTGCCAACTGTGGAAGCACAGCACCTACTTATATCAAGAGCCCCCATGAAGCCATTATCCACCTGAGACCTCTAAAACATTCCAATTGTAGAGATGAGAGAACACAGGCTTCTAGGTATCAAATGGCTTCTCAGCAAGCAGCTTGTGTCAGAACTGAGAGCTGGCCAGGGAAGAACTGCATGAAATTCTTTCTAAGCTTCTCAGTCTGGTTTGCTACTGATATATAGAGAAATATTATTGCTTCTCCATTTTAAACAGTGAGCCTAGTGAGGATGTCCTAAGAGTTCCCTCTGACTTGAGAGACTATGGTTTATCCTGTTTTCATGTTAAGGGAAGTCTTTAGTATCAGAGCTATGTCAACCCAGGTTCCTCATTGGGAAAATTGCAAGAGAGCACAACACAGGCCTCCAAATCTGAATTGACTCAGGGAAGAAAAAAATCTAAATGGTTGATAAATCATTTAGTTGAGTTACCAACTTGAGGTACCTCAAGTCAAGTTACCAACTTGAGGTAACTCAAATTTACAGTTGGGAAATTGGAAAAAAAATATAACAGTGTGATTTATTTGCCACAGAGAAAAGAGACTAACCAAGAAAAATAATTGTTTAAATGCCAACACCCAGGGAAGCCTGGCTGCAGAGAAGCAGCTACAACCAGAGATTTCCTGTGGCAATGTAACTTCAGCAGCTCTTCTGTGCTGTAATCTGGTTGTAGCTATTAAAATGTTACATGTGCAAATACCTTCACTCAGTATTCCCTTTCCAGGAAGTCTGCCTTCAGCAGGAGACTAGTTTATGTTTTTAGCTGAATTGTGTCCCCTCCCCAAGTCTCATATAGTGTGGTTCCAAATACCTAGTGCCTCAGACTGTGAATCTATTTAAATATATAATTTTTAAAGACATGATTAATGTGAAAAACCAGCCTCTACCTCAGAGCAAAGCCTGTCCAAGGAAGGGGGCATGACCCTTGTCCTTGAAAAGACCCACAGAGCACTCCTAGGCACATACCCACCCTGCTGAGTTGTTTATCTGCAAATAACAGGAGAGATCTGCAGCACCAGGTGTCCCTGACTCAGTCAGGCTAGGTGAGGGCCCATAGCAACCCCCTAGCAACCACCAATCAGCATGGGACAGGGAAATACCTGGGATTCCAGTAGTTTATGGTGGTTGATAACATGTTGGGAAACCTGTAGTTCAGCACGTCCTCCCCTCGTGGCCTAAAACAATCAGTTAAAAGGAATCCCCCTCTTTTACTAACCAATCACCCTCACCCAACTTGTTCCCACCAGTGAATGTGCTAATCATGTTTTAGAGTTGTTTTATGACTTTCCCCGCGGTGTGTGATGATTTGCTAAGAGATGCTATGATGTATGTGAAGTCCCTGCCTTCCCCAGAGAGTGTATAAAACTGCTGCAAACCCTGGGCTCAGGGCCTCAGCGTCATCAGTTGCTGTGTGTGCGGAGGACCTAGCTAGCTCGCAATAAACACCTCTTTGCTGCTTACATCGATCTTGGGTCTCTGGTGGTCTTTTGAATTCGAGCATAACAATGTTAATCCAGTTAATTGGTGTAAAGTCTAATCCAATTAAATTTTTCTACTTATAAAAAGCAACACTAAGGACACAGAGAAGCACAGAAAAATGTCATGCAAACATAGAGACAGAAGATAGCAATAGACATGTCACAGAGCGGAGCTCAAAGGAAATCATTCCAGCAAGCACCTTGATATGGACACTATGGAATTAGCTCAAATAAATTTCTGTTTCACCTCATCTGTTGCATTGCCATGACAGACTAATGGTACTGATACAATCCACTAGGACATGTATACTCTGTCCCTGCAGCGTGGCTGAATGAAGCTACAATTGAATCACATCACATTCCACCAGCAATGGAAAGGCTAAACTGCTGCAAGAAATGACAGTTTTTACTGGAGTATTATGAAGGCATCTGAGAACATATTCCTTATCTGATGGTGCTATAGAGTGCCGCAGTCTGGCTGGGCACAAATAACCGAGCCGCCACAAAGCCTTGTAGGTTCAAACAGCAACTCTTTATTCCCCAACTCTCACCTGCACTCTACACACACATCCCAGGAACACACTCCCTCCACCGGGCTCCGCCCGCCAATTCTCCCGGAACCCCGCGAGAACTCAACGGGAACTCCAAAGTAGCTGGGCGCCTGAGGCAGCAGGATCTGCCCTAATCCCAGCAGGATCTGAGCCACCCTATTCCCCCACCCCAGGATCCGCCCTCATCCTGGAGCCGCCCTAATCCCAGAGCAGGGTCACCTTTTAACCATTCCCTCTAGCAAAATGCCAGGCGTCATTCCACTAAACTGTGGCTCTCAACGATAGAAAATTGTTTTGTGGTTTAGTAAAATTATGAAAAACATGTAGACTCCTTTTACCTCATTTGTTTGTGAAATCCTCTCTCTTCTTTGTGTCAATACCTCCCTGGTAAAGTAGTTAGTTTTTAAGCCTTGTAAAGGAAGTAGAAGTATGGTGATGACTGGTACATGGGCTACCTGGGGCAGGTACCTAAAACAAAAACAGTAGCATCAGAAAAGAAATATTTAGTGCACAGTAAACATTGAAAATGATGTGGAAATAGTTTATCTGTTATTTCCACAAGTATGTAATCTGGAGAGTTACACCTATTAAGTTGCCAGGGGAAGTAATACAGTTAAGATTTCTTTGGAAATTGGAATGGAGGTCATTCAAGTGGTAAATTCCTGGTACAGGGTTTAGGGGAGTCTCTATACTTGAGTATTTGTCCTGGACCTATCTTGACTATCTCCAATTCCTGGCTGTGGAGATCCTTCTCCAGAAATCTAATCTAACCTTAGACCAGAGATATTATCGGTTGTGTAGTGCACTGTTCTTTCCCTAGGAGACAAAATGAATAAGTAGCTCCACGATGATCTGCATAG